GGGCAGAACAGTATTGAATCCTAATTTAGCCTTTCCAAGCTAGGTTTCTTGGATCCGGCTTCTGATTGGTTCTGAACTTCCATTGGTTCATATACATAAGGTAACATCAACAATATGCCGACAAAGATTGTTGTTTTTAAATTTACCCACGATGAAAAAGATAAAAAAATACCGCCAATATAAAAAAAGTCAGAAAGTACCGCCGACGCTATCGTTAGACATTGCGCGGCCTTTAGATCTTTGCCGAATTTATAAGATCCGTGTGTGTATGTGTGTGTATGTGTATGTATGTATGTTAACGCATTATTCCGTCCGACCTTATATTTATTTTCTATTATTGCTTTATTGCAATATTAATTTATGTGCACAACGCATAGAGAGCTCTCATACGTGACACACAGCGAGCGATGAATTATTCACGCGCAACGCGGCATGAAGAATCGTCGGCGCCTTGTATTTTCAACTACAATCGTTTTGTCGCTCTCCCTCTCCCCCCTCCCTCCCCCACCCTCTCCCCCACCCTCCGCGAAATTTATCGTACACTCTCCTTCTGGCCGCGCAACGACGGGTCAACGGAATCGATACTTGGCCGATAAGGCTAATGGTGTCGCGTAACGCCCGACCGATGTCGTTATTACGTTGAGATCGCCACTTTGGGCGTGGGCGCAATTTAAAGAGATAGGCCGCGCGTGATCGCGTATTATTGCGAGCCGTGAAAATATCCGCACTCCGATTCACATCCGATTCATCATCGTGTGTTTTACTACAGCGGGGCAAACGGCGCTTTGCCGCATATACGCGCGCCGGGCTTTTTTTTTTTGTGCGCAAAATTGAATAACTCAATACCGTTGATCAATGCAAAGTACATTTCGTCATTATAAATCATTACAGTCTACCGATAGAATCATGATCAAAGAGAGCCGTTAAAATAGAAAATTCACCATAACGCGTATCGAACGTATTCGCTCATACGTTTACGCTTTTTATAATAAATTGCACAATTTCGTGCGCCAGCCTCACAATCGATGCAAACCGTCTTTTATGTATTGGTGCTCCCGCCGGTCTATTGCGATAAATTCTAATTACAATCGAATACTCGAGAATACCCCGGTAGTACCAAGCGAATCGCTGCACAATACCGTAGGTGGCGCAATATATGTGCACGGCTTTATTCATATTTCTCACGCTATTTCTCCCAATAATCGAGTGTCGCTCGCTATCGCAAGTAGTTATACCAACATAATGGACGGCAGTTTATAACGATACCTTACGTCTCGATCGCGCGATACAAGTGCCATTGCTGTTGTAATTGAGACCCTTCGCGCAACATTTGCCAAGATGTACGAAGATTTACGTCTTAAGAAATACAAGATTAAAGCTTTGTAATTCGACACGTTAACTAAGCTTATAAATTCTCCAATTCTCAATGTTTTTACTGCAGAAATTTTTATTTCAGTTATGAAGTATTTATAATTTTATAAAAAAATTATTTATATCTAAAAAATTTTATAATTTAAAGTAAATTTTTGACAAAATAAAAAGACAAACGTTCGATTTGTTTTTCAGAGTTTATTACTATCGTCCCCTTGCATGCAAGTCTCCCGATTACAATGACCCAATATTCGTACATTCGTCGCCGCTTTTATTCTTCGTCAAAATTGAATTCGATCCGATAACGCCCACCGTTGCACGGTCCCGCACGAAATAAACGCAGCGCCGATCGAAATCCAGCAAGAGATACCTCGTACCAGGCGGAATTTCTTGCGGGCTGCATTATATTCTCGCGTCCTTTATCTATACTTCTCACGCTATTTCTTCCAATAATCGAGTGTCGTCGCGCATCGCGCACGGTTATTCTGGATCATGCCCAGTTTTGACTCTGCCGCGCGTCAACAGAATATTGCGTTTGCTGGCTGGCGCCAAATCGAGCGGAAAACTAAAGAGAAAAGCGGCTAGAAAATAAAGCGCTATCTGTGTTCCGCGATGAAATAAAATGCGCATTACAACGTTGAAACGACGAGTTAAAAGCGCATTTTCTTTACAATTAAACGGCCAAACAAGCAACGGCAATTCCAACGGCGGTATTTCGCGATACGGTCAAAGCGCGCTGGAATTATTTCGCCGATTATATTGTCAGCGCGTGTAGGTAAATGCAATTGTAAGATTACAACAGCGGCGGACGAAACGGGAAAAAGGTTAGTGTGAAATCGTGATAACGCGGTCTCTTATAGATAGTATGCGGCCTGTGCGATGCACACGCTTCCGGCTAGCTGACAGGCGAATCTGGACAATGCTAACTTGATTTATGGTCAGGGCAGAAGGCTTTTCGAAATTTGCATTGCGGAGAGATGGATGAATATGGCGGCGAGAGAACCAGTTCACAAGATCGAAAAGAGAAAGAGAGAGGTCGCAGGAACGTGGCAGGAAGCACGATTATGAGGACAGGTTAGCAAGCGGAGGTTAAAAGCGACAAGAGAGAGAGAGAGAGAGAGAGAGAAAAAGAGAGAGAAAAAGAGAAAGATAGAAAGAGAAAGAGAGAGATTAGCAAAGAGAGAGATTAGGCCGAGCTAACGGAATCAAGGATAACTCGATAAAGGTGGCAGGATGGCTCGGGGCCGAATGAAGTCCCGGCGAGCCGTCCCCCTCCCTCTCTGTCTCTCAGGTGGATCCGTTTATCATCGTGGTACACGCGAAATTAGATCCGTCCTCTGCAAACACTTCGTTCGGTTCGTTTTACGGATTTTCAGCTGGTCATCCGCATAATCTCGGTATTCCGATTGGAATCCAGGAAGTTCCCCCCCCCCTCTCTCTCTCTCTCTCTCTCTCTCTCTCTCTCTCTCTCTCTCTCTTCCTCTCTCTCTCTCTCTCTCTCTCTCTCTCTCTCTCTCTCTCTCTCTCTCTCTCTCTCTCTCTCTCTCTCTCTCTCTCTCCCACTCCCCCTCCTCTCTCTCCCTCTCTCTTTCTCTCTCTCTCTCTCTCTTTCCCTCCCTCGCTGGATCCGTGCGGCACCACAAAAATTCAAACCGTTTGATTCCTCCCTTTGATACTGTTCCGCGCAAAGCCAACAAATATTAACTAGTTTCACGTGAGAGTATACAGCAGCGATTTTTCTAGCTCGTGTGCGCGTGAAACTTGATCTAAATACGTTTCTGGCCAATGATTTCATCCACTCGTTTCACTCTCTTTCTCTCGAAAAACAAATAGTTGAAACAATTTCTCTAAACATATTTTCTTTCTCACAATGGAAAAACTTCCTCGCTCCGTCATTGCCTGGATTACAAAAGCTCGCGGCAAGCAACTTAATTTACGAAATTGCAATCCGCGGTGCTCCTCGGAGACATTAATTTAGTATCCTCCCGCTTTTCACTATTCCTCTGTTCTTTTTCCCAGACACTTTATTCCCAAAGCCGATCATTCTGCCACGTAGCTATTGCAGCGCCAGATACGACGCAGGCAAGCGGAAGGTAAGGCAAAGGGAATATCGAAATCTCGTATCGCCCCGGCGCGAGTGTCTTGTAGCTGCAAGATACAAGTCGAGTATTTCCTGAATGGAAAAACTTGGCGGTTCTTGTCTCCCTATTCAAACAGGCAACAGCGGAGTGAAGTAAGATAGAAATGCGAAATGTCGAAGGAGATATTCACGTCGCAAAAGACAACGGACGCGCGCGCGTGCGGGACGCGAGCTCTGCCTCTCTTTCAAAATAAAAGAGGAAACTGCGTGCATCCCGTGGAACGGCAAAGTAGCACGACCATTCGTAAAACAATATATTACGGCACACTTACCGCGTCGGAAGTCGAACTGAGATATGATATAAAGTTGCTGCATGATACATAACAATGACTCAAAGACGCGCGACGACTTTCCTTAAGAACTTTCCGAGCAATAATTCCCCGGCGCCGCTGGCCGAATGGCAACTTGGCAAATCTGCGTGGAGTTGTTAATTTGTGATAACAGCTATGAAACAACGCGCGCACTGCGGAAAACGGCGTGAAATAAGAACGGGTTGTACAAATGTACTCCGGCGCTCTCTTACGTTTAATTAGACTTCGGACGGCTACCCGCGAGTAAAAGTTTCTCCTTCGGCAGCAGTGGGTCGATATAAAATTGCGAGATTACAGGCCCATCTTCGGGAGTGTCGGTAATTCCGCCAGGGAAGAAAACCAGCTGTAACCCGACGCGCGGAGGGCGATCGCGCACTACCTTCGTTTTTCGCTATTTTACGCGAACGGGTAAGTCCGTACGCTGCAAAGCCTGTACGTGTGTATATGCGCAGTAAAAGTTCGACGTGTTCGCTCGCGAGGAAAAAAGCATTTAATTTTAAGTAATTTTAAATAATTTGCAAATAAACTCAGTAATTTGTTTGGTACAAATTTAATCGAACGATTCAATAAAAAATTATGCTACACATAATAATTACCATACCGCTTCAATAATAATACTTTAAATGCGCGGATTAAAATCCAGACATTTCAATTAAAAAGTCAAACATGGATAAACTCATTTCGATAAATCTATGCAATGTTTATAACATGTGCGCTGTGAAAGTTTTAATAATCGTGCAGAAATCCTAAAATAAGCTCGTAAAAAACATTCAATTTTAATCAAGCAAATTCCGCTCGAGAAAAAAAATAAAATTATAAATATCTGAACCGAAATTTTTGGATACATGACAGCGGGGTCAGACATGTTAGACGTTGCTCCTTTCAGCAAACCGTGTACAATCTTTGTGTACGTGTTGTCAGAGCACACATAAACTAACGCGTAGTTACCCGTTCAAGAAAAATAGCGGAAAAAGAAGCGCGTGACCGCCCTAAGGTCAGGACGCGCGATGTCGAAGAGGACAGCGACACTTTGGCAAAGCACCATCGGTAGGGGAGACGTGGCGCGGCGCGACGGGGCAGCCTCCCTGTAACAGAAGATCACCGCGGAGAAACGCGGAGGCGCCTGCGCCCTTCGAGTATGCCGGAGTTCCTGCGTGCGTTTCCATCAGTCGGGTCTTCAACTCCGGACCGCGAGCAACGGCTCGGTTCGCGCCGTCATTCGTGTCGCGACGCACCCTCCTGACGCGCGGAACCACCCCTACGGTTATATATCGGTCGTGATTGCGCCGACCTATCCCACGGCACGCCGAAGAAGAGAGCGAAGTAGGGTCACGTACGAGATTTTGAAGGCACCGTCGGACCCCGTGTTCCAGATCCTTTCTCCGTCCGCTCTGTTTCATCTGTACGTTTATAAATGCGATCACGTAATCCCGCTCTCGCGAGATCGAAACTTACACCGAAAAGCTCGGGCGAAAGTTTCGCATGATCGGCCGCGAGGAAAATCGCGCGGAGAATCTCATATCGGGCAGCGCTTCCGTGACTTTACGAACGGAACAGATGTGCCCTGACCCGCGCGTAGATTTTTACGAGATGCGAATCTTTCCGCGGAACGACGACTGAAATTTTTCCAACGGCGAAAAGGTGGAGAGGAACTTTTGTGATAGAATCACGCGAGAAAGCGCGTCGCGCTTAGCTTAATCAGATATCTTCCGCTGCGGATCTGTGTGTAAGAGACATTTTCTTTGAATAAAAAAAAAAATATCGAAGTTTTTATACGTAATTGCGAAAAATTGAAAAGGCAAAATGTGATATTTGTATTTCCGCGTAAAAAGTACAATTCCGATAATCGTTTATATTATAAATGGATAAAACGACAATTTGCGTGAATTCATATGTCAAGTTGAATGACGTCGATCGTTGCGAAATCTCGCAAGTGTTCTATTCATATTTGACAGAAAAATCTAGCTGCATATCGTGCGCGGCGAAGGTACGTGCAACTTCTCTCCGCGGGCATCCAAGTTTTGTCAAAAGCAATTCCGACAACTGCGCGGCGATTTGATACGTTGTTGGAAGAAACGATCGAAATGTCTGCCGAGAAATGCAGCTGTCAGACGCATCCGCGTCGAATCGCGTGTTCGCTCCCCGGAAAAGTCTACTTCGATCAGCAATAGATGCACATCTTGCAGATCGCTAAATTAACTTGTCACTTTTGCCGCGTCGCGTTAAAATCTGAACGCCCGCACGCATCTTCGAATACAAAACTAATAACGTCGACCAAGTTTCCCCACGCTGGCCAATTAATGTTTCCGGACGTGCCTGGTAAAAAAAAAAAATATAATCAAGCGGAGGGGAAAGAATTTAAATTACCGCGATGATTCGATACGCGAAACGAAATTTCGTTGCGTTTCTCCGCGAATAGTGAATAAATATATCCATCATACATATAAAACGCAATTGCTCGGAGCTGCAGTATTGCTTTCGCAATACTCATCTAGCCATCATATTTTTATATTTAAAAGACCGTGAAATAAAATAACAAGCACGCGTTGATCGATACACAAAACACCTCTGCTAAAACAAATTTTCGCAATCAATCAATATCAAACCTTGAAATATTCGCGTTTGTATCGAGTAATCATTTTCAAATCCTTCGTATGAGAGAACTACAGAGAATAAAACTCCGTCGTTAAAGATAACATAGATCTGTATAGGTAAACGTATGCTCAACCGCAGCGGTTGAAAAGGCGTGATCGTTAATGTCGTTAGCGCTAATTAATCATTGGCATGCAGATAAATACCGTGTATCACGGCGATAACTAGGCGTGAGCGGGCGGCCGCGTCTGCCGATGATTATGAACAAGCAAACTCATTAGTCGCAGTCGACGTTAACGGCCTCGTTGTTGCACGCCATCGCCCACCCGGTTTGTCCGGTCTTCTATAAGCTGTCGAATTACTAACCGCGCTCGCATTAAGAAGATTACGCGTCCGATGTGACGGGCATGAGGAGATTATGCGTCGGGAAGAAAGCACGGATAGAGATGATTACGGAGGGGGAATTATCCCTGTGACGTCCGACGTTACGATAACTCGAAATGCTGCGATGCTAATACGCGTGGGAACAACGGTGACGAACGGATTATGGTCATCAATTATGCTTGACGCCGTACACCGACTTTGTATACATAATCCGACGCGATATTAACCAATCTGATCCGCATTATTTCGATGAGAGTAAGACATTAATGCGGGAAATAATTGTACTCTTCGAGAGGGAATAAATGAAATTTCATCCGTTACGCGGATAATGTTAATTTGTTGTCGCGGTATACAACAACCTTCGGCTGTAGTTCTAAAAATCGATTGTTCTTGTGAATATTAAGCTTAATTATCTTGTTTCAACACACTATCGGTATGTACGCGAGCTATTGTAACGTGGGTATTATCTAATTTAAATCCCAATTCAATAGAGCTCAATTTTCCGATAGCATAATAAATTCACGTGTATTCCAACTTGGCGATAATTCATACTGAATTGTCGTAATGAATAATTCGCCGATCGAGAATGTTCTTTGTCCGAGATTCCTCCGCGCGATAATTCTTCGCGAGCCGATTTACGAGTTACGAAAATCCACCTCTTACAGGTCAGCGGAAGTTAGAAAATATCCGGGCCGACTGGCGCGGCGATCCATTACCGAGTGACGTCGAAGCGTCGGCCGGGCCGCCGCCACGAGATTCCGTCCGTCGTTTTCGAGTGCGTAATTAATCGTGGAACTCAATCGAGTGCCGAATTAATCGCGGCGAAATTCACGAACCGCGCGTTGTGCCGCAGTACCACTCGCGCGCGCGACTATGAAACGCCGTCGCCGGTGCAAGTGACTCGGCAATAAGCGAGACGGCAGAAAGACCGTGCGGCGACAACCGGAAGGGAGAAAACCGTGTGCCGCGAGGACACCGGAAGATGGATCGCGTATCAAAAAACATGCCGGAACACTGAACAACCCGGACCGCAGAAATAAAGAAAGAAAAGGGGGGTGAGACGTTTTCGCGCTCGGGTAGCAGGACGTCTTCTCGGCGCTCTAATTAATCTTCGTAACGAGCGGACCGCCCGTGGGATCCTCCTCGTAGCACGACACCCCCGAGCCGAAGATACCTCTTCCTTGTGAAACTCTCAGCTGCAGGTGGCACGTAGAGCTGTAAGTAGCGCGAGCAAACGAGCTAGCCGTCAGATGAGACGGTGAAAGGCGCGAGAAGAGATTCGACGTTCGAGATGCTGCCTTAACCCTTTGGCCTACAACCACGAGTAAGACTCGTGGTAAGGAATTTGGTCCCTAAGCAATAAGCACGAGTCTGACTCGTGGTACTTCAACGCGCGACCGACCTTCCTGTTTACTATGGCCCGAGCAATCGGGAGAAAGCGTGTAGGTCAAGTGGTTAATTAACAGAGCGCTTTAGCTAACTGGGGTTCAATTTCCTTAAATACACCCGTTACGCGGATAGCGCGATCAAAGCGCGTCGAGTGCGAACTCAAGGTCGGGCGCCGACGTAAATTAAAGACCATCGACATCGATAACCTCGCTTAAGTGGTTTCAACCAGGCGGCACTTTGCACCGGTGAGGATCGCGAAAGGTGGGCGACGTGTCTTCGATTATCGACCGACTCTAGATCTCTCGAACGTTCACGAAGAAGTCGATAAGGGCGCTACTCCGATAGAGAAGGGCCTCCAATCCTTGAAGGGCGGATAGAAAGACGGGAGTTGGGGAAAATCTTTGAAAAACCCTGTCCCTGATCAAACTATCGAGGCAAATCCCCGAGGCAACTCGGCGCTTCAAAAAGTCATCCTCATCTTCGAAGAATCTACGAGCGAATGAGGTCGGGGCGAAAGAAGACGTACACCTCGCAAGTGATTAAGAATAGTGCGATCAAGAAGAAACTCGACGAATAAAGCCCGCTACTTCGATTCGTTGCGCGATTCCGCAAAGTGAATGTAGAAGAATCAATCTGCAATCATTCAGGGCGGAAACGACGGTGACAAACGGTGCGGTACATTTCGGAAGATTAATTCCGAAAGTGGTCGAAAGAATTTCACGAACGCGATAGAAATTCACGAACCGTTCAAAGGGTCATTGTGATCTTTGCCGCGACGGCGGAGCATTAAACACGGACGGTTGGCTTTACGCGAGGACATTAAGTGGCGGAACGAGTGGCAGACGAGCACAAACGTATTCCGGCCGGCGAGACGAGAGACCGGAAGAGGCGCAACGAAAGGAATAAGAAGCGCGGAGATAGCAGCTGCGTTGGACGGAGTCTATGGCGATGAGACCGGAAGGTTAATCTGGAAGGTTGGATAGAGCGAAGGCAAGGAGAGCCTGAAGTAGCTATCGCGACGGCGGAAAAAGTGGACCTTCGGACCGGCTGGATGTGAGAAATTGGGGGTGGCTCGAGGATGTGTGAAGACGAATGCGCCGAAGATAAGAGCCGGCTGAAGAGGGAAGCGAGCATTGATCCTTGAACTCTGTTATCCTGGCGAGAAAGGAAAACGAGTGCCTCCACACGTGCGCGGTAATAAAATCGAGTGCGTAGTATTTCGTGCGACTTTATCACCGAATAACATTGCCGATCGCCCTCCCCCTTTCGTTAATTCCAAAAAAAAAACTCGCCATTAAAGTCCTCACGAAAATTCGAGGAGACTTTTAGAAAAGCTTCGCGCGATCGCGATAAATCCTGATTATTGCTGCACCGTGAAATTTACTTGAGGATTATCGCCGATGAAGAATGGTTACGCTAAGTAATCCTTTCGAAGAGGTTAATTAAACATCTTATCAAGACAAAGGATCCACGATCCTATTACATTCGGCCATCCTGCAACGCGGTTGTGAAGGAAGTGCTGCGGGTGAGCCGGTGGGTTAATGATGATGGCATGAGGACATTAGTAAGGACGCGCTGCGGGCCCAGCGAGGAGGAGGATGAGGATGGTGGTGGGCGTGATGGTCCTTGGTCAGCTACTGACGAGGATCCTACTCGCAGCCCACGCAGGAGATCGCCTCGCGGCAGCTCGCAGGATTCTCAGAGACGTGCCGCTGATAGATGGGTAAGTTAAATCCTGTGTAAACCAGAGACCTTTCAACAAGTTGCAGGGCATTTAACGCAAATCGCCAAAATGCCGCAACGCGCGAGCCTCATTAAAGCGTTCTCCGGGCGTTTCGAATTAATCTTATTTCGTTCATTTCTGCTTAAAACTGCATTAATATTTATTAAAAGTGCATTTAATAATTATTCTCGTTAATCTTGACTACTATGTCTTAATTTCTTATTCAAAAATTAATCAAAATCAAAAATTTGAATTGCAATAAAAATGTCTTCTGATTATATTGCTATTATTTTAATTTATCTACATTCGCAAATATGTGAATAGTGAAGTTGTAGATTCTGTATGTTATATTCGCAGTCATTTTCGTCCCGCCATATTTCACGAAGCAGTTACAAACGGAAAATATATGTGCGAAACTAGTGTAATTTGCGTCGGCGAGGAAAATAGAGAAGAGAACTCGTATATATGAGAATCTGCGGGCCACCGTTCAAATGTTAGGAAACCGCGATTTAATTAACGTAATTAATATTAGTCTTAAAACAAAGCGCGTTTACAATATCTGAAAATTTTCGTGGTATCAGAACGTTTTGTTGCACTCGGAAAAAATTCTTGACTGAAACGAGGAGCAAACTGAATTCTGTTTCAAAATGGAAACAAAAGTTCTCGCGAAAACTTCTGCGATATAATTCCGTGAAAGCCAGGAAAATGGGCGCCTCGCCCATTCTCGCGTATCCCGCTCGCCTTTGTCAGCCGTTGACGAGCAGCGAAAAAATGCTGCGTCAAAAATTCAACGGATAACTTGAATCCCATCGTATAATCGTTAGCCGTGGCAACGCGAAAGGTACTACTACGGCGCGCGAATTTATAGCCGGCGAGAACAATGTCGTCGTAACGACACGGTCGTCGCGCACGGTCGACTTTGTATGACCGGGCGTGACTCTAATTACACCGAGAATTAAACTTCAAAGGAATGTCCGTCGTGTCCGATTTGCTGTGACGCGTTACAACCATCTGCGCCGTACAATGACGATTCTATTAGACAATCCTGTTAGCCGTATTGTCATATCCAGTCTTCCGGAAGACCGGATATCTGACTTAATAATCAGAAGAGCGCATTGGCAAGATCAAATGAAAAAATTAGCACTTGAGTGGCGCATAGAGTCAGAGTCAAAGAAGAATGCTTTTTGCGTCAAAGATAATTTGTGCAAAACTTATCTTTACATTACATTTTAGATTGAAAATATGATAATAATTACTGAAATAAAATATCGCTATTTCAGCAATGGCACATTAAAAATTTGTATTGCTATTACTTTTTATAACCGGCTGAATGCAAGTTTGCTATTAAACAAAGAATGATTCTAACATTCCGATGCAAGATTAAAAATTTCTAGACGCCTGAAACTTGCTCGCAATTTTGCAATCACGACTTGAATATTTGAAACTGGAGAACAATCCCGTTTAGTATTCCACGGGCCAGCGGCTTCAATTTCAAGAACAGGGGATATACAGTAAACAAAAATAAGATCAGACTCAAGATGCGACGGGAATTAAAAATAACCAGACAGCGGACTGCGTAAATAGGATTCGCCGGTCTATTGGGGTCACTACCAGGATCGTTTCTTCATACAAAAGCAAAAGAAAAGAAAAAAAAAAACCCAATTGAATCGTACCGAGAAAGAGAGTCGCGCATTTTCGCTGAGATAATGAGAAAGTTTTGCGAGCGCGGAAAAGAAAAGACGTTAATGGAGAAGAGCAAGGAAAAAAGAAACCTGAGAGAATAGGACGGAGGGCGCACCGGCAGGAGACGGCGAAGGAGGATGGAATTCACTCGAGAGGCCCGTTGGCTGTTGGTCCCCGGGTTTCTCGGGTTACCGGAGAGTAGATACGAATTTCCGGTTCTCCTGCTCGGTACAAACTCGTATGTCTCTTCCATTCGCTTCCGTGTTCGCACGCGCGCAAGAGTAAATATGTAACCACTCGAGTGTATTCGCCGGGGGAGTATCTATATCGATGCGTCTAATGTCCGACGTTCCTTTTCTTTTTCCCACAAAAAGAATTCGTAAGCTTCGAATTTACAATTCGTACCGTTGTGTATCGCGACACTACGCTTATATTATTTCTTTCAATTTAAATATTTTAACAGTTAGCACAGGCAACGTGGTTTAAATATTGCAATGTTCCATTTTGTATATTTAAACATTCATTCTTCATGTATTTACAATATATTTTCAAAATATCGAGGCGATATGACGATATTGCATGGAAACTGGTTTCGCTTAAGTAGACTTTAAGTAATAATCGCTTTTCGTCGATGCGAAACACATTTTTCCTACGAAACTCCGATGCTACTCTGGCCGCCGATTCCACGAGCAAACTCTCTGAGAAACTCTCGAAAGTGGTTCCGATAAAAGACCGAGGAAGAGACACACCAGCGATTTCCTTGGCGAACTGACCGAAAGCGGCTCGTTACCAATAACGAGCGAAAGCCTCGCCGGGCGCATTGTGCAGCAAATAATAGTTCAGCCCTTCTGCTCCGGCTCTAGAATGAAGTGGTTCGTGTGACCCGCGGGCGACGGGCACGTCACGTGTCGTTGGTGAAAAGGGAAAAAAATTGTGCCCGGAATTTCCGAGCGAAACGCTGAATGAAAGCGTATGAAGCGCGAGTTGCATGAAAAACCGTTCGATCGTACTTAACGCAAACCGCGCGATTATCTCGATTCAATATTAATGTTTAAAGATCCGCGCAAATGGATGCTGAATATGGAATGCAGAATGCGGAATGCAGGATGCGGGACGCGAAAGCGGCAGCGTGCCATACAAGGATGGCGAAGCAATCGGTTTCGCATCCATCCGCGTTCCACATTACAAATTCGCGTCGGCAGCCGTGGAGCTTAACTCTCAAGTGCCTGGTGTATATTTGATATTCTGTCGATACGTTTGAAATCAATGTTTCACTTAATCCGCGATATTCAAATAATTTCACAAAAGACTGCTGAGAGAAAATAATCCTCTTGTAATCCCACGAGATTATCGCGGCGCTTCATCAACGTGATTGGAATTAATTGATTAATCTCGAAAAGAAACCAAATGAATGCAAACGAATAATTGCGAGAAAGGATGTAAAACAAAACAAGGAAACGGCGGAGATAAAAACTGCTCGGCGGACGACACTTGGCGATTTACTATCCCCAAGAAGTAGAAATGCAGTTCTTAATCCCGTCGGCGCCGTCAAGTATATTGTAAGCGAAACAAGTTAACGGCGTCATCATATAATTAAACCGGCGATGAGTTTCTCGCATTGGAAGAGGACTCCACCGGCGACCGATGGAGATCTCGGAAATACGCTTCCATAAACCTGATAACTGCGATGGACCAACCGGCTTAATTACCTCGTTACGCCACCGCTGTTTATAGCTTTCGTCGTCGCGCGGAAATATTTAATTACCCTCTCCGAATTAATTCCGGACTAGACGGAACCGGTGTCGGGCGGATTAAAAAACGGCGGTACAGGAACTGAACGAGGGTCCCCACGTCGTCGTTGCATGCCAAAAGGATTTCCGAGTGCTTCCGCTGCCGCGAGAAAGAATTGCTCGGAACTAGGCTCGGTATTAGGGGCGTTCAACTCCAACCGAAACACTCTCGAGCGCTCCTTCGGGCTGGCCGCGCGAGTGTCCCGAGTAGTTCTAATTATTTGCAATTAGGTTTCCCGTGTTCTCTCTTCGCCGCGATAGGTCCCGGTTATCGCCAGTGCGATGGGCAATTTCACGCTTTCCTACGCACGCAGAAAATTTCAAGGCAAAATGTGATCTATTTAATGGAAATGTTGCCCTCTTTGTTGAGCAGCGCGCGCTCACGAAAATGGGCCGCGCGTTTGTTCCATAATTATGCGCGTACGCTCTCGGTAGCGAAATTGGGGTAATGTCGCCGAAATAATGAAAATGCGAGCCATTTCAGCTGGTCTATAGCCTGTTGAGGAAAATTTCGCAATATCAGGCGAAATGTAAGTTCATTCCCTAAGCTGTTTTCTCCACAGGATAAAGCGCAAAATAGCATAAAGAAAAAAATGCCTAAAGACATTAAAGTAAAAGATTGCTAAATAAAAATTTTAGAATTCCAAAGAAAATAGCGGTATCTAACGTTTGAAGAAAAAAATGCTAAAAGATACTTTCGCCAACTTCAAGTTATCTAAAAATTTCTCTCACACACTATGGCGCATGTATCTTCGCGCTTTCTTACAACATTATTATAAAACATGCACGCGAATTTTCGATTGACTGCTTTCAAGAAAATACTTTTCGTATCTATTGAACTATACGTCGTTAGCTTTCAACTTCTCGTTCCACCGTTTCGTATTTTCAATTTTCTTCTTATCTCAATGTAAATAAGAAAGGAAAACTATCATATTTAGAAAAATATTGTACTCCTCATGACGGTATATAAAACCGTCAAACGCGAAGAAAAAAGATCTACGGAATGATGTCGCGCGCCTTTCCTCGCAGACACTCGATAGAATCGAGTAACTTTCCTGCCGAAATCGATATTCTTGAATGATTACGATCGCAATAATCGTCAAAATTCGTTATCGAAACTACGATTCGCTATCGAAACACGATCGAAGGAAATGTGCGATCTGATTACCGTGGCTCGAACAAGACGAATGGATTCTTTGGAAGATCGAAATTCGCTGCCGCGACGCACTAATTGTAAGCTTGTCCATAAAGCTGAATCTTAGGGTCGCTTCTTTTGATTTGGCTGTTTTATTTGTGTACAAAAATAAAAATGAGAAAAGCCGCGAGCATTTCCAATTTATTTCGAATCTATTCGGTCGCTCGATTGCAGGCGATTTCGTCGAACGCAATCGAGCCCGCTCCACTTTCGTGGATGTAGGTGGGAGTAAGAAATGAGGGTGTTTTCTTTTTTCATTTCCACCTGCATCGAGATAAGGAGAAAATCGAAAATAGAACCTGATGGAATGAGAAGTTGAAAACTAATGATGT